CTTTCACTTCGGCCTTTTCCCTACCCTAACCTAAGCCCCGTTACACCTTGTTTAAAGACCCCTTGATTATTGCATTATGTTCATTCTTAGTAGTGGAGACTTGATTGGATTACAAGCCTATGGTAATATTTTGGTTAGTTTCGGTTTGAGCGATTTCATTTACCCCAAACACTTTGAGCGGATATGTGTGAATCTTTGTGGGGTATTGATTCATGTTTCAGTGAAGTTGGCAATTAATTGTGATATCTTGCTTACTTTAACTTTTCTTGGTTGTATCTTTGCTTGATTGTAACTTGAATTCGACAAATATCATGGACATAGTTCGATTGGAAGTCTGAGGAATAAATTGAAATTGAAGATGGTAACTTATGATTTTGATATGTTAATTGATGAATGCTTGAGGACAAGCATTGAATAAGTGAGGGGGAATTTGATAAGTGTTTAATTTAGTTAATATTTTGCTTTTAAATTACTCCTTAATCATTGGTTTTTATGGCTTAATTGTTCGTTTTCATTGACTTTCTGTGCAGGATGTTAGGTTTTGGAAATTGCACTAAAAGGACGGAATTCTGCAATTTTTTTATTTTCGGAATCAAAGATGGCTGGAATTCGGATTTGGATTAAACTCAAGTTTTAGGATTATATTTTAAACATTATATTTTATCTTTGTTTTAGGTATTTTAGTTTAAATAGGTTTTAGTATTTTAATTAAGTTTTAGGATATTATTTTTATATTTTATCTTTGTTTTAGATATTTTAGTTTAAATAGGTTTTAGTATTTTAATTAGGATTTAGAATATTATTTTAAATATTATTATTTTTTAGGTATTTTAGTTTAAATAGTTTTAATTGTTTTAATTAGGATTTAAGGTGTTTTAGCTTGTTTTTAGGAATTTGAAGGCTATAAATACCCTCTAAGGGTGAGCCTAGAAACATATCTCTCTCATCTGAGAATAAAATCTTCTTTTTCTCTCTAGCTTTCTCTCTATTTTTCGCATACTTTTCAATTATGCTAAGTATGACTTTGGTCATGCTTAGCTAATTTTCTTTCAAGCCGAAGACTAAAGCGAAGGCTCAATTCCAAACATGAGAATTGTAAGGTACTTAAATCGCTTCGGATTTTCTCTCTGTTTTCTGAGCTTACTTTTCAAATCAAAATGATTTCGACATTGGTCCAAATATTATTATGGTTAACGTTTGAAGAAGGATTTGCTCATTGAAGCATATTCAACTTCCCGAGAACACACTTAGCAAAATTGTTTGCTAAGAGGAAACTGAGATCGGAATCAGTTATTGTTGAAACAACATAATCCTAGTCGGCAGCAAAAGAATTGTCCTTGTAAGCCGACGTGAATCTTGAAGTAAAAATCTATTTCGATGATCCGAGGAATTTGAGGCAAAGCTGAAGTCTGAGGCTGCTTTCACAATAAGTTTCTCTTTATCTCAATCTCTTTAATTTGTTTATTTAATTATTTTCTTTTATTTAATTCTTATCTTTTATTTTTAAAAAACTTTTAAAAATCCCCTTTTATATTTATTACTATTAATATTTATTATTTTATTATTTTTCCTTTTTTCATAATTATTTATTTTATTATACCTTTTCTACTTTACCTGGAATTCTATCTTTTCCTAAAATAAAGAAACATTTTTATTAAATCACAAAAACCATAGTCTTTGTGGATCGACTCTACTTCTCTGTACTACCTTTTCCTTTCTATTTAAGAAGCCGAAATTATTTTGATAGCAAAACGACAGTTATCATCCATCTCATCCATAATCCTCTTTGTATTCTTCAACCAATCCTTAGCATCAGTCAGAGGTCCACCAGTAATGCCCTTGAATGAAACTACTCCAGTAGCTACCAAAGAATTCAAAATCTCAACCGCAGACATATTATTAGGGACTCTCTAGAAGTTCTCCTGAACATACGAAGGACATCTCTATTAATGGCATCCTCATCCATATCAGCTTAGTGATAGGAGGGTCTCTCGCAGGTGTAACAAGATCATCTAGAGAAATAAATGGATCTATATCCAGAACAGGAGGATCTCTAGGTAACATCAAATCGTCTATCCTAACAAAAGGTCGAGTCGCTCGCTCTTGACTATGGCCATGACCTGGCCTACGACCTCTAGTAGCACTCATCGGATAAATCTACAAGGCTCTACAGAAAGAATTTGAACCTAAGTTAAACTAGCATCAGGAATCTCAAATATATTTAAAACTCATAAAATAAGGTTACATGATTTTTTGAAAACATCAAAAGGTCTTGAAAATCTAGAATTTAGGACTCATCCACAGTCTTAGTGTTTAAAACCGAAAGCTCTGATATCACCAAGTGTAGCCCCTAGACCTGGCCTGAATGTTATGCCCAAATCTAGGCGGCTACATATTGTATTCAAATTTTCTTTTCATGTTTAAAATTATTATGATATACACTTGGATTTTGTTTTCTTTATTTGTAAAGGAATATAATGATAAATTTATTATTATGATATATTTTTAAGGAATTCGAGGGGCTATAAACCATGTTTGTGGAGTTCGAGGATTTTTTGATGAAACAAATATCATATTCACGTTCATAAAGTCAAAAGGGAGTGAATTGAAAATTTTGGATCCAACAATTATCAACAATAACCTATAATGGTGATGAACAACAGTCGACGATGAGGACTTTGACTAGATTCAGAGGTTAAATTGATATTGATATTTTATTTAAAGTTTAAAAGTTAAATTATTATTTTGTCTAAAGTTTAGGAACAAATTAGTATTCATTCTAAAATTCAAGGGTCATGTTAAAATTCAACCATTTTTACTAACTTGTCATATCGTCAAACTAACGGAACTTAATGACCAAAAGACCAAAATGTAATGAACCTATAACGTAAGTGACCAAAAAACTATTTTAATTAAATCAACATTAATTCAACAGGTTTTACTTTGTATTTCTTCTCAAAACCTATCTATTTATGTGCAAGTATTCGAGGGGGCTTGTTTTGATTTAAGTCGTTTGGATTTTGAATAACCATATTTATATTTGAGTACAAACTAAAAATATTAAAAGAGATTTCAGTTTATTAACTTTAAAGTTAATGGAATCTGATAAGTATTTCATTTATAATTTGAAAGGTGATTAAAATTTAATTTGATAAATATTTAACATGTTTATAACTTAAAATGCTATTATAAATATTATATTTGGGAAGTTCCCACCTCCAAAATTTTAAAAAAAAAAACTATAATTTAGACTTTTAAAATTTTCAAAATATTTAATTTAATCCCACAAAATTTTTAGAAATTTAGGGTTTTAATTAGGCCCCTACTTCTATAAAAACAAATAAAAATTCATATTAAGCTTTAAAAAATTTTAATGTTGTTAATTAAATCTCTCCCATAATTTTTAAAAATTCTCATTAAGTCTTTCAAATTTGCTAAACTTTTGGTTAGACGCCAATTTTTTTTTAAAAAAAAAGTAAAGTAACCCTTCAAAATTTTTGAAAATTTTAATTTAAACCTTTAAATTTTTTAAAATTTTAAGTTAACCCCCAAACTCTGTCATAAAGTTCTGCCACTGATGAGAATGCTCCAAGTGAGTCTAAAACACATGATCTAAAAATTATGAAGGAGCAAAGAAGTATCTTTGTCAAGCAACCAAATGTGCTTGCTGATGTTTGTTTGAATACAAAAGATATATTATAATAAGTAAAGTTGATAATCAAAGACCTTGAAGTCCATTCTCTGAGGCTTATACACGGAGTTTTGTCCGATATCAATATGACAAAACGTTGAGAAAAATACATAATCTAATCCCTCAAACATGGCATATAATGGAGGATCAAAAACAAAGTGACCTAACCTACCATTTACCTACAATATAGTTGTTCTCATGGCCTTCAATCCGTGGCTCAATGTATTGATAATTGGTTAATCTCCACACTAGTCTACCATTTAATAACTCTCCAAAATTTTGCTTCTAAATCAAAGAGATTATTTATGAAAAGTTTATACACAGTAGTTGCATGCATATCCAAAGGCATTTTCATTGGAGATCTTAGTGATGTAATGCAATAAGATTGAGGGTTTGACATTGGGATTTACAGCTAAAGAAAATCTAAAAGGAGAGATCTGATTCCAGAACTGAAGAGGGGGGAAAAACCAGTTGTTGGGAAAATTTAGCTTAGATTTTTAGACAAATTGGAGATGTTGGTAAGAAGTCATTAGATTTGGTTGTGTATTTCATGATGTAATGTAGGATTGGTTAAAAGATACTTATTTGGTCAGACATGATCCTTTGAACTTCCATCGATCCTCTCAAATCTACCCTTTTTTTTTCTCTTTCTGCTCCTCCAATACCTCCTTAAAAAAGGCTAAATTTCAGCCTCGTGCTTCTTCACTTTTCGCGTTTTATGGCTTCTTTTACCCTTAGGTAAAAAAAAATATCATACACAGTTCAAAGAGGAGCTGCTATTCGAATGAATTTGAAGTTCAAATATTAATTTTTGCTATAAGAAAAAGAAGATAAAAGAATTTCCAACCAATAGGAAAGAAGAAAGAAGACAGAGAGAGAGAGATAAAGGGAAGCATCGTGTTACCTTCTAGTGCTAGGCTTATTTCTCTCAACTGGTGGAGCGTTGACAAAATGGAATGAACAGTTCCTGGACACAGTTAATTTTAAATTATTCATTCTATTTGTATCCTTCGAGTTCCAAAATGAAAAAGTGAAAACAGGAAAATATAAATAATTGGATTGAAATTGAACAGTTGTATGCATTGGCCTCCTATTTAAGGTTGATGAGAATCATAAGATACATGCCAGCACCTTCTTCTCCTACCTGTCTATTCTTCCCACGTTTCCTTTACTTCCATTTCTGCTAATACCATCATCATCAATCATTTCCATTTCCTTCATATCAGCATCCATCATATATATATATATATTATATATATATATACATATACATATATTTTCTTCTATTTAGCTTCCATTGTATAGATATATATTACAGTAAGAGATGTTGGTGTTGTGGGCTGGAGCTTTGGTTCTCATTATATGCATTGCACATTGGGTTTACTACTGGAGAAATCCTAGATGTAATGGTAAACTTCCCCCTGGTTCTATGGGTTTCCCACTTCTTGGGGAGACTCTTCAGTTCTTCACCCCCAACACTACTTCCGATATCCCTCCCTTTGTCAAAGAGAGGATGAAAAGGTCAAACACAATATCATTTCGATTTCGTCATGACACTCTTCTTCTTGTTCTTCCATTTTTCTTAGCATGTCCATTGCTGCTTGATTGCAGGTATGGGCCGATATTCAAGACCAGTTTAGTGGGGCGACCGGTAATCGTATCGGCCGACCCGGATCTCAACCACTTTGTGTTTCTTCAAGAAGGGCAGCTGTTTCAGAGCTGGTATCCGGATACGTTCACCGAGATCTTTGGACGTCAAAATGTGGGCTCGTTACATGGGTTTATGTACAAATACCTCAAGAACATGGTGCTTCATCTCTTTGGTCCTGAATGCCTGAAAAAGATGCTCCCTGAAGTTGAAGAAACAGCTTGTCGAAGGTTACAACGCTGGTCAAACCAGGAAACAGTTGAATTAAAAGAAGCAACCGCTGAGGTAATTACACATATACCCCCCACAACTCTCCCTGAGAAATCCCATTTTTATAGTTTCAAGTCATCCGAATGTAGCCTGATGGTAGCTTGGTCTTTTTCTTGCAGATGATATTTGATCTCACAGCGAAAAAGCTCATAAGTTATGACCAAGACAATGCCTCCCAGAATCTGAGGGAAAACTTTGTTGCATTCATACAAGGACTAATCTCCTTTCCCTTGGATATTCCTGGAACAGCCTATCACAAATGTTTAGAGGTACTTGACCACCATTTTCTAACTAGGCAACATAAAATCTACTACCTTTTTGTGTATTGATTCTTGAGTTTAATCTTTTCAGGGAAGGAAAAATGCAATGAAGATGTTAAAGAACCTGCTAAACCAAAGGCGGGCAATGCCGGTGAAGGGCCGAAGCGACTTCTTTGATTATGTCCTTGAAGAACTTGGTAAAGAGGGAACAATCTTAACAGAGGCAATCGCTCTGGATTTGATGTTCGTTCTACTATTTGCCAGTTTTGAAACAACTTCCCTGGCTCTAACTTTAGCAGTTAAATTCCTTTCTGATGACCCTTCAGTTCTGAAAAAGTTATGGGTATGTGATATTATTCCGATCGTGCAAACTCCGAATTGTTTTCCAAACAAACATTAGCTTAAGTATGTCCGATCTTACAGGCAGAGCATGATGCAATTCTAAGAAACAGGGAAAATGCAGACTCCGGACTTACTTGGAAAGAATACAAATCAATGACATACACATTCCAGGTGAGAAATTCTATGCTTTAAACTGACATTATCAGTCGAATAAAACTGCTTGTTTCCATACCGACAAGTTCAACTTGCAGTTCATCAATGAAACAGTTAGACTAGCAAATATAGTGCCAGGAATCTTCAGAAAAGCACTAAGGGAAATCCAATTCAAAGGTATTCATAAAAAATGTTGAGACTCACTTCCGAGTTGTTATATATTAAAGGATAAAAAAAGCCTAGCAATAAATATGAAAGCTAAGACCACAAATTTGGTGATAATGCAGGATATACCATTCCAGCTGGTTGGGCAGTAATGGTCTGTCCCCCAGCTGTGCACCTGAATCCAGCAAAATACCAAGATCCCCTCACCTTTAATCCATCACGATGGGAGGTGGGTTAATACTGGACGTGCTGTTTTCCTGAGAGATTGCTATCAAAACAAAATCACATAAAATTTTACTTTCTACTTGTTTAACTGCAGGGAGGAGAAATAAATGGAGCCTCAAAGAATTTCATGGCATTCGGTGGCGGCATGAGATTTTGTGTTGGAACAGACTTCACAAAAGTGCAGATGGCAGTGTTTCTCCATTGCCTGGTTACCAAGTACAGGTAAGTGCAAATTACAAGATGTTCTATATCTTCCCAGCACACTTTGTGCTAGAGAGAAAGAGACAAAAACTCATCAAAATATCGAACCTTTCAGGTGGGAACCAATCAAAGGTGGAAATATACTCAGAACTCCAGGTTTACAGTTTCCGGATGGCTTTCATGTACGGCTCATGGAGAAAAATAGAATGGAGTAACTTTGCAGAAACAAGGCAGAACAATGGCAACAACCCAACTTTGCATCTCACCAGTTGGCATTGCTTTTATTTTTATTTATTTCTTGGACTGTAGAAGTGGAAAACAGTTTGTTAGTATATCTAGAAAAATTTAGAAAGAGAGAGAATCTATTCTGTCACTTCTTCAACCAAGATTAAATCATAGTGTCAACAATGATCTTATACAAATTTTATAATTTCATCATAAATTTGATAAAAATGAAAAAAAAAGTAATATGATATAACGGGTCTTACTTTCAAGGCTTTTCCAGCTTTTTCTTTCTGAACAATAGGCTTTATTCTTAAAATTCTATATGAAGTACTCGATTTCCTCAATTTTCTCAGATGAAAGATGAAAAGGGAACTTTTCAGAAAGATCTGAACACAAATTTCATCCTGCTGTCCACCATCTCATCTTCAATGGTCTTTCCATATTCTCTTTTACCCTTCCGTGCTTTTGGTGCCCAACAAAATTTTTATTACATTCCAAATGGACTTACTGTATGATTCTGGAACTTGAGTTATCTATGCTTGTGCTTGACCCTTTCGACATGATGCAGATGATGATAACAATAACCAGTGTGCCTTTTTTGAATGGTTGCGTAACACCTTAATCTGATACGACATAAATTCAGTCGGTTAGAATGACACACAGAACCACCGGAGTGACTAACCCAAAAATTTTCTTTAATACTTACTAAATCATACATTTTAAAACCATTCAAAGTAGCATAAAATAACCATAAATAAATAAATGGTTTACATTCGGGAGCTCCCAAAATAAGTACATCAAAATAATACAATCGAGTTTTACAAAATAAGTTACGACTCGAATACATGAAGGTCTATAAATGATACATGCCCTCTAAGAAATATGACTCGAGACTTACTAGTTGCTCGATCGGATTGGAATGTCTGCTATGCGATAAACTCCTCGAACGCTCCTCCTAGATACATTTGCACGGAAACAAATTTCGAGCGCTGAGCTCACTAGCTTAGTGTCACACTAACAACTAAATCATACTAAAAGTGTTCATCAAATGCTCATGCTAACAAGTGCAATAAAAACAGTAGTATACTTCACTCTGTTCTAGGGTAGACATCATGATGTGGCTAAGGGTTCTGTATCTTGGAGCTCACACACCCCTCTAGTCTACCTAGGGTGAGGTCCGAGAATCTCTACATTGGATACGACACTAGACTAACCCACCTCTAGAGAGTGTTTGGGCCTCGCGCCCTAGTTAATCCTTTTAAAGTGCCTTGCGCACTGCCTAAGGATATCCAGTCAAATTCTATTTCTCAAAACCATATAATTTACTAAAGTTACTAGGATGTCCTGATTGTTTTCCTGGGAATCAACCAAGGCTAGTTTTATGTCATCAAAGATAGTTCTTGTTTCTAGCTTTAACTGATTATTTATGGTTCTCACTTTTAGTTTTATTTGAGAATAATTATGGAGTTCACGGGTACCTCAATACCTCTTATAAATCCTTTGAAATTCTTTTCCTAAAATGTTTGATGATACCGATACTAGGTCTCTCAGCACTGATACTAACCCTTGAGCATCGATACTCAACCTTAGGTATCGATACTCTATAGAAAATTTCAACTAGGAAAAATGGGTAATACTCTATACTTTCAAACTGAGTTTCAATACTCCCAAGCTAGGGTATCAATACTATCAGGGTATCGATACTAAATATGGGTTTGATGTTTTGAAAAATACCTTGGTATTGATACTCTCCGTGAGTACCAATACCAAAAATGCACATTGGAATATCGATCTTGATACCCATCATGCGGGTCTCAAAACTAGGCCTTAGTATCGATACTCCATGAATGAGTATCGATATTACTCACACAAAAATCTCTTATTTTCCCCCTCTTAAGAACAATATCGATATTGTTCTTCCAGTGCCGATATTCATACCCAGAAATGCCATGTTTGCACATGAATTTGACCCCCAAAGTTATCAAAGATGCTTATTGAGATTCCCAAACATTTTTAAGTCTTATGTGTGATAAAAAGGTCATAAAAAGAGCTTTAGAACATGCTAAAAACACTAAAACATGGAATCTATCTTGGATAAATAGGGGTTTGGGTTTTTCACCATCCCCCGTTACAAAAACAATTGAGAGAAATTCTTACTTAGTGAAAAAATATCCCGAAAAATGGCTTCCCGATATGAAATGTTACGCCTCGATAATATTCATATTTCGTCGATTAAACTCCGTCCTAAAGAATAACAGAATATTCATCAGCGCAGAATGACATCGAAAGATCCGTATCAGCGGATGATAATATATCTTTAGCAATTCATTCTACATCCAACCATATTTTTACTTGGCTTTAAGTTGTACCTGGCGTTGATTTCGAGTCTGGTTGAACGTGGTGGCCCTAGATGCACACTTTCCATTTCCTGAGTGGTGAAGCAACGATTACTTTGGAAGACGTCACTTACCAACTCGGTGTTCCTTTGAATGGTGTCGTCGTATTGAGGCAGAATGATTACAACCCCATGAGTATTATCTGCGAAGTTTTGGGAAGGGTGCCACCATCCGAGGTCTTAGACGAGTATTGGATAAAGATAACATATATGGATAACATGGTTGGAGTCCGAATTTCAAGTGATAGACAACTCTACCGAGGAGGAGGTTATTTTTGCATCACGAGCATATCTTGTCTAACTAATCGGAGGGGTTTTATTACCGGATAAATCTGGTAATTTGGTGTACACTCAGTATCTATCTATATTAAATAATTTCATTGAGTGCTGTAATACCAGTTAGGGCTCAACAATTTTAGCGTTTTTGTACCGGTAGCTTTGCAAGGCTAAATCATTGAGAGTGGTCAAAAAGCTGATGTAGCAGGTTGTAGGCTTGGTATCGGTTTCCATTTTTTAAGCCAACTACATCAGCCCCAGTGGAGTTTTCTCTAGTTGCAAGGTATTTGTTAATTTATTTTTATATGTTTTTAATCGTTTTATATTTTTTAGATGGTACCATAAAATAACCGAGACAAAGTTGTCAGGTGCTACTAAAAAAGATATACGAAGGAGGATCAACAGTGTCAGTCGACAAGCGGTAAATATTAGTTATTTTATTTATTTATTTTGAAATTGTTTCACTTTATATATACTAACTTGTATAATTAATATTTACAATTTTCTTAACTTCTGTATTATGACGAAGAGATCTATTAGTTATTGCCACCGAGATTTTTTATGGGTTCGATTTATGGTGTGTCGTGAGGCATGTATTACATTTTTGCGATTGTTAAGATGCACTGTGTTAATAGAGTGTTGCAACATTTTGCGTCTCATCAACCGATTCCTACACAAATATGGGATATGGACGCGCTCCATAAAATTGATACACGTGGGAAACATATCAAAATTTGGCCGAGGAGATAATACGAACAACAGAAGGTCATATTTTCCAAGTCGAAGAAATCATTGCTATATTCTTCTGCTTTTGCTTCTGCATCACAAGATTACTATTATGCATTTTAGGCTAGTTTCAGTTTCTGTCCTCCATGTCATATTTCAACCGACACTCAACCGACTTGGGTTGGAGGTTCATGGGATGCATCGCAACACACTCAAGCATATTCGACAGAGCACGCGAGTCAGGGTAAATGGGATCATATCATATATAGTCAACAACGTAGCCAACTCAAATCAATAACGATAATGATGGCGTCAAATACCATAAGTCCATTACCATATTTCGAATATGGATATCATATTGTGTTAAGTACACCTCCTTTTGAACAACTAAACAAAGATGAAGACGATGATGACAATCAAGTCCGACGACCTCGGTGTACTAGATGAGCCCCGATCCATTATCATTCAACCACTCTTTGGCATCATCAAGAACTTAGAAAATATAAATAAATTTTATTATGTACTAGTTTGTAAATAATGTTTTAATAAAGTTATTAATTTACTTTTTAATAAAAAAATTTTAAAATTTAATTCGACAAAAATCGTCATCTCGAGGTGATGAGTTCCATGTTAGCAGTTGTCTAGTGACATTTGTTGTTCCCTGTTGACCAACGATTATAAACAACTACTTTTTTAATTCAAAGCAAAAATCTTTTTTACTTTAAAAAACTAAAGTATTTTTATATTTTTAAAAATATTTTTTAACTAGAGGTGACAAGTTCCGTTAATTACATTTAATTAATAGCTCACGTGGGGCTCACTCATCTGGGTCTATTAAAAAAATATTTTTGGGAACTCGTCACCTCAAGGTGGCGAGTTCCAACTATACTGTTGCAATTGTTGTATTCTCCAAAATAAAAAATCGGATGCCCTAATAGACTAAATATAAATAAATTTTATTATGTACTAATTTGTAAATAATATTTTTTTAAAATTTATTAATTTAGTTTTTAATTAATATTTTTAAAATTTAATTAAACGAAAATCATCACATTAAGGTGACATGTTCGATGCTAGTAGTTTTCTAGTGACTGTTGTTACCTGTTAACCAACTATTATAAACAACTACTTTTTTAATTCGAAGGAATTCGTCACCTCGATGTGAGGAGTTCCATTAACTTTTTTTACTTTCAAAATTTAAAATATTTTTATAATTTAAAAAATATTTTTAACTGTAGGTGACGAGTCCCGCTAATTACATTTAATTAATAGCTCATGTGGGATCCACTCATTCGGGTCTATTAAAAAATATTTTTGAGAACTCATCACCTCGATGTGGCTAGCTCCAGCTATACTATAGCAATTGTTGTATTCTCCAAAATAAAAAATCGGATGCCTTAATAGACTAAATAAAAAATCCATTGCTATAATGGGCCAAAAGAACTATTTTCGTTCCAATACAGTGATTTCAAGGCCTGTTGGGTGGTAACACTACTTGTAGGGATGTGAAATCAGGTAATCGTTCAGGTTTCAGTCGGATCATATCAGGTCATGTCAAACCAGATACATGTCTTGTCAAGTCAATTTGATGGTTCGACACAGATCAGATCAGATCTGGGTAAAAT